ATACGTTACTTATTTAAAATGTCAAGTATGTTTTAACACTTATAAAACCATTGCCACAGGTCAATCAATTTATTTTTGCACTTTTAGCTCTTACAAAATACCCACCTCTTAATAAAACTAGGGAAAATCATTTTATTGCAATTTTGCCCATCCTTTAGTCTTCTTTCTTCTCCTCAAACTAGTGTTTCTATAGTGGGATGTTTTATTAAATGAGGTCTTTTAGGGCATAATTATTGCATTAAGAAGCACAATTTATAAAATTACATCCATGTATGGTAATAATGTAAAAGAGCCAATCTAAGAGGACAGATGCTTTTGACTGAGAATTAGAACCTTATCTGTGGATGCACAAAAGCTAGTGATTTGTTTACTATTCTCCTGCGTTTCTAAATCACATTGAAGTTCTTCCGAAAGATTTCAAGAATAATGCCCTGGCAAGAAGAGAGTGAGGAGTGGGTGCTGAGACCAGGGCGGTGTGCAGAGCCCTGAGGTAGAAGATTTCTCCTGACGCAGCTTCATGGGTCAGGGCCAGTCACTGACATTTTATGTCAGGGTTTTATCCTCTTAAAAAATAAGTATAATGAGACAATAAGATCTGAGTTTACCTGTGGTTCTATGTCTTCATCCCTGGCAGATACTGGAAGACTTCATGCTTTTTATTTGCAGTGGGTCTTAAGTAAACATATTAGACACGGGGAAAATAACGACATTTAGCTTTGGCTCTGCTGCAGGTGAATGTTTCAAAGGGAACGCACGATGTCTGTCTCACAGGGTGTGGGAGCAGATGAGCCTTGGCTCTCTGTGCTAGCCCTGTCCCTGGTCCGGCTTGTGCCCCCCACACTGCTTCTTCTGGCTGCTTTTGCAACCCGACAGATCACTCCAATCCCCCACTTGATGTTATCCACTCGTTCTTCCCACACTTGCACCATAGGGAAGATTATAAATAAATCCTATATTCATAGGACAGCACCATGCCCAGGCCTGTGTATTTTCTGGGACTAATTGCTCAGGGAAAGCCAATACACTGGTGCAAGTCTCATTCCAGTCTACATGGTAATTATATGCTAATGCCTTTTGAAATTAATTCAGAACCCCCCACACTGGCATCGCAGTAAAGGGTAAAGAAGCTGAGATTTAATCACATTGTCTTCTGGGGGCTTAATTTGAGATTTCTTTTATACATGAACTGGGCCATCGATCGGCAGAACTCGCTGGCTGCTCCTTTGCTATTAACAATGCAGTCCCACAGCAACAAAACTGCTGGCCACTGGCGTGCGGAAAATCAGTCACGACCAGGCTCTCAGGAAGAAGCAGAGCTTCTGACTTCAAAGAAGCCATGATGCGTGTTCGACCAAGTTCTTTTCTAAGTTCTACAAATTAGCCAAATTTTTAGGCCCGAAAACAAATCCGATCCACTCGAAACAAAAGGAGGCTCACAGCTGAGCAAGAACACAACAACAGCAACAAAGCAGTCCTAAGAAACGGTAAGAACAAACGGTGGAGCTTTAGAAACAATCAAGACACAGTTACCTTGATCTCCTAGAGAAGCCGCAAAAATAAATGGAGTGTGGGTAGGTGAGCAAATATACAAGATTTGCTCTAGCCCAGAAATCTAGTTAAGTATAATCTAAAAGCTCCCTATAAAAGCCTCCCACACAATGCAGTGTCCTTCCACAACCCAACACACTGTGATATCCAAAGAACGGCCATTTTAACATGGGCTTGTAGCTTTCCCAGTACTCATCATTAAGTCAGTTTCCTGTTCTCAGTTCGAACGGACATTGGATTTGATATCATGTGGTATACAAATGCCTCACATATCATAGAGGAATGATTAAAATTTTTTCTCAGCTATAAAAAGAAACGAGGGAAATGTTGCCCACACAAATTTTTTCCCGTCACCCCTGACCGAGAGCCAAAAGTCACGTGAGAGGATGGGTTATAACTGCCTAAGAATCCCGTCTGTGCATTTTTCTGTTCTTTCAGTTTTTTAAGATGCTACATGAAGCTATTGAGGAAGATGATTGCTTCCTTTTGGGACACACTTCCAGAGACACATGTACTCATACAAACTAAAAAAACTCCCAATACACAAATCCATATGAAAATATTATTTTACAAATAGTATCAGATGAAATGCATTACTTTGTGCCAGATACTATGGCAAAATCTGACCTGTCTTCTCTCAGTAGTTCTCACAATGCCCTCTGAAGTTTATGCTATACAGTCACTAGACTGTAAGCTCTATGAGAACAGGTACTATGGATTTTGTTCACCAATGTAAAATCAGCACCTTGTTCCTACACTGCTTCCTACATGACAGATGCATGGCAAGATACTTGCTGAATAAGTAATTTTCATTTGATAAAAGAGGCAACTGAGGGTTAGAGAAGATAAGTAACTAGCCACAGATATGAGAGGCTAGGATGTATGTTACAACATGTATCTATCAATCATTTTTTTTTTTAGACAAGAGAATCAATGGGGAGTAGACAAGGGTCAACTTATTGCCATATTTGCTCTTCTTGCCCTTTCCATTTCCACAAGAAGATAAAGTTGCTGAATAGCAACAAAAGGGCCAAATTCGGAAAGTCAAAAAAAAAAAAAAAAAAAAAAAAAAAAAAAAGGGGGCAAAAATGGAAAAAAAAAAAAAAAAAAAAAAAAAAAAAAAGACTAGGTGGGGTCCACTATGGCAAGATATTAATATCCACTTTCAGACAATGAGCTCTTCCAGCCTCTGGCCTAGAAAACAGAGACCTGAATTTTCTGTCTATAAGGGAGGAAATGTGATCTAATCAACAGTCAACTATGTGTAGTGCACTGTGTGCATTATGCCCCTTCTGAAATGCAACTAATGACTGAAAGTACTGGGATAAGTTAAAGCAGCTCTTCCAAGTTCAGCGCTCTCTGCCCTGTACCCACGGCAGACTTCTGTGTATGGACTATAACACACTCATTGCTCTGCAGCCTCTGCTCATTCGTTACCCACATCTAACACAAATGTCAGGCAGAGAAATAAAATATCGGTGTTCCTGTTGGTCTAGATCCCATGGGCCATTATTCCATGTTGAGTCTTAGTAAAATAGAGAAAACAGAACTAGAATCTTCATGTTCTAAATTATAGCCTCTGGAACATTGTCATATACCACGCAAGACAGGAAACCCATGCCTAGATCCATATGACACAACACAGTAACTTCAGATACATGATTTCCTAAAGACCAGAGCATCATAAATCAGGATTCTCATAGATCTAAACGAATGGGGTTCGGCGGACATACCACGGGGAACATAGTACACTTCAGTGGAGCATGAATCTCAGAGTCCGGCAAGCCTGGGTTCTTACCAAACTTAGTAACTTAGTTCTGTATTAGACAAGTGACTTACGTAGTTTTCTAATCCATAAAATGGGGACATGACGAGTACTTACCAGACAGGTCTCTTAAGAATACTGAAGTGTGGGATACACTTCAGTGTGTATACATACAAGTGTGGGAGCACCTAGGTAAAGTACCAGTAATAACTCAGTAAATTAGTTTTCACTTTCAGCTTGATGACCATCACTTTAATTTCATCACTGAAGGAGTCTCCAAGCATCAACCAAAGGAAACAAACTTCAAGTGATGAATTGTATTGCTTAATACGTACTGGGCTGCCTTTGATTTTTACGTATTTAATGATTATGCTGGTCACTGCTACTACCCAAGGTGGGTCCCTTTCATCAAGCTGCATCACAAAAGCACAAGGAAGGTGATTCCAGAAGTGATTTCTTTGTGGATCTTTAAGATGGGGAGAAACTACTGAGGCTTGGGAGAGAGGCGTGATGCTAATGGTCTCACAGTGGTGTCTGACCAGTTTGGGCTGTATTTATTATTAAGCAAATCAGATTGGGGTGACTGTGAATTCTGAGTCAAAGTCTGACGTGGAAATCATAAAATGCAAAATCAGAAACCCTCGTTTTAAGTCAGCAGTCTGACACTCAGTGCCTCTGTGATTTCTAGACCTTTAGATGTCCAAGGGCTGGAGCATTTTATTCAAGAGGCAGTACAGTGCACTGGTGAACAAAACCGAAGAAGCTGAACTGCCTGAGAGTGAGTCCCAGCACCACTGTTTCCTTTGTGACCCCACCAGTAAAAGAGGTTGCCGTATCAGACACTGAGTATGTATTAGTTGCTGCTGCTGTCCTTCTGATTATATTTTTCATTTTGCAGTGCAATAATCTTTTCGTTTCTGTTTCCTTCCTCTAGACTGTGAGCTCCCTCAATGAAGGGACTAGATGTATTCTTTCTTTCCATATACAGTCCCAAGAGACACTCTAATGATGTTGGCTGAATGATGGACTGGAACAGCAAACGAACATCAAAGTGAGATAGACTCGGAACAGAAACCCTGACTTTAAGCTGAGGAAAGTAAGAATAAATAAGAGTACTGATGAAATCATCTAGAGAGTAATTCACAAAGGATCAGCATCTCCTTAGCCTCTCTTATCTCTATCCTGTTCCTAAATAAGGAATCCATGTGGTCTTAAACCACATCACCAACTTCACAGGTAGTAACCAAGCCCTGACAACCAGTTCACAAAGTTCTATTGGTTCTAACACCTTCCCAAAAAACTAAACAACAACAAAAACAAATGCCATACTTACGGTTTATTCTAAAGCGAAAGAGAAATTTGATAAATACTAATAGATTAATACACAACTTAGTTTTGAACATTTTGGGATTTATGTTAAAAACAAATCCTATTCTTTTTAATAGGCTTTCATGAGATTTTGACTTAACGGTCCCTAAATTAATTTTGCAAGATCAGGTCTTACTCAAACAGCAAATAACATTTCCAAGTGACAGTATGATTTCTGTTTTTCCTTTGGAAAGTGATTTTGAATAATTAAAGAAAACATAATTTGTAACATTCTTCACCATCACCTCATTTTCCTGCGGACTGTCCCCTTCACCCTTGCACCTTACCAAAAGAGAAATTACAAATCTGTGTCCCTTACCTCCAACAGTTCATCTCCAATACGCATTCGCCCGTCCAGGGCAGCAGGCCCTTCGGGGTTAATTCCCACCACGAATATGCTCATGCGTGACCGGTCCTTATTACCAGCAAGGCTGAGTCCAAGTCCATTCTTATCCTTTTCAAGCTCAATAATGTGCAATTCTCCAGGCAGGTCTGCATATCTTTGCCTGATTTTTTCTATTGTTAAAAAAAAAGGGGTGGGGGGTAAAAAAATTAAATAGAGCACTTAAATCTACATTACAAAAGCATCAGCATGTCCCCATCCTGACCCATGATGGTCCTTTTTTGAGAATGAAGTAGTTGGAGTCATTCATCACCTTACATATAGGTTACAGTTAATTGTTCCATCTCCATTTTTTTTTTATTTTTTATTTTTAAAATTTATTTATTTATTTATTTGACAGAGATCACAAGTAGGCAGAGAGGCAGGCAGAGAGAGGGGGAGAAGCAGGCTCCCTGCTGAGCAGAGAGCCCGATGCGGGGCTCGATCCCAGGACCCCAAGACCACGACCTAAGCTGAAGGCAGAGGCTTAACCCACTGAGCCACCCAGGCGCCCCTCCATCTCCATTTTAAAAGTTTAGTTCACCAATAAAACGTTCTCCGATTGTTCAGGTTCACATGAGCCCAGAGTTGCTGTGCATTCCTTTCTTACCAAAAACAGTCAACACAATGTTGTAGAAACCCTAGCCTCCCTACCTCCCTCCAAAAAGAGAGGGGGGTCAGTGGGAAACAAAGAATATATACAGAGCATCAGCTCTGTGCCAAGAAAGTGTTTGGTCCTGGAGATATGGTTCCTATTCTCACGGACTTGCATTCCAGTAAGAAAAAAAAAATCAACAATTAATTCAAAATAATTATGTTTCTTTAAACTATACAAATGGTATAATAATATTTTATGATACGTGAGTAAAATAAAGGGAATTAAGGATGTTGGTTTAGCTGTCAGATCTGAATTCAATACACAAATCAACCATTCACTCAATGTCCAATAATTAATACATTACTTTATTTTATGGAATTCCATTTCTTCATGTGTAAAATGGGCATGACAATACCCTCTTCATGGTTGTTGAGAAAATGAGATAAAATACATATTAAAGAACTTAAAAGCTAGCTCATGCTTTATAGGAATTCTATAAATCTTTTATTTAATCTTTTGTCTTTCCTTGGTACGAACTCTCTTTGGTCTAAATTACCTACTTTAGGATTTGGCTGGTTACGCCTCACTTGTGTTGATTAGGTGCAACAAAACCACTCTGGCAGATCAGTGTGGGAAATGATACTGCTTTGAACATGGCTTGTCCCCCACAAAGCACTGGCTGAGGCCAGGTGTGTTTCTGGGGCCAGAGGTTGACACCTTCTACTATGGTATGATGCAATCATTTTATCAGTTGAATGACCATCTGGTAGACTGAGACTATCCTGGAACTGTATGGTCAGTCTAATGTTTGACTTAGGTCTACTGTCCTTCCAGGGAACCTTGCAATTCAAAGCTGAACTCAAGTAATTAGTGTTAAGGGGAATGGGGGGAGGAAAACAGCCTAGCTATGTTATCACTTTCCAGACCTAACAAACACTGCCTTAGGAGAACAGATATATTTAAACTCGTAAAAATACTTTAAAAAAATTAACCATATAAATGGCTGCTTATTTTAGAAACAGAATAAATTTGGAGTCTTAACTTTCTTTCTCTACAGCTAATGTGATGAACTTAAAAATCTCAGAGACAAAGAGAAAGTCCTGAAAGCAGCTAGGGACAATAGGTCTGTAACCTACAATAGCAGAAACATTAGACTGGCAGCAGACCTACCCACAGACACCTGGCAAGCCAGAAAAGGACTGGCATGACATATTCAGGGCACTAAATGAGAAAAATATGCAGCCAAAAACACTATAACCAGCCAGGCTGTCACCGAAAATAGGAGGAGAGAGAAAAAAGCTTCCAGGACAAAACAAAACTAAACTAAACTAAAAGAATTTGTGATCACCAAACCAGCCCTACAAGAAATATGGAAAGGGGTCCTCTATGCAAAGAGAGAGCCTAAAAGTAACACAGGCTAGAAGGGAAAAGAGACAGTATACAGTTAATAGTCACCTTACAGACAATACAATGCCACTAAAGTTATATCATTCAATAGTTACCCTCAATGTAAATGGGCTAAAGGCCTCAATCCAAAGACATAGGGTATCAGAATGGATAAAAAAACAAGACCCATTGATATGCTGTCTGCAAGAGACATTTTAGACCCAAAGACACCTCCAGATTTAAAGTGAGGGGGTGGGGGCGCCTGGGTGGCTCAGTGGTTAAAGCCTCTGCCTTCGGCTCAGGTCATGATCTCAGGGTCCTGGGATCGAGTCCTGCATCGGGCTCTCTGCTCAGCAGGGAGCCTGCCTCCTCCTCCTGTCTCTCTCTGCCTGCCTCCCTGCCTACTTGTGATCTGTCTGTCAAAAAAAAAAAAAATAATAAAAAAATAAAAAAAATAAAGTGAGGGGGTGGAAAACCATTTACCGTGTTAATGGACATCAAAAGAAATCTGCAGTGGCAATCCTTATATCAGACAAATTAGATTTTAAATCAAAGACTATAAAGAGATGAGGAAGGACACCATATCTACTTAAAGGGTCTATCCAACAAGAAGATCTAAGAATTGTAAATATTTATGCACCTAATGTGGGAGCAGCCAATTTTATAAGCCAATTAATAACAAAATCAAAGAACACATGGACCATAATACAATAATAGCAGGGGATTTTAACACTCCCCTCATTGAAATGGACAGATCATCTAAGCAAAAGAGCAACAAGGAAATCAGGGTTTTATTTTTTTTTTATTTTTTTTTTAAAGATTTTATTTATTTATTTGACAGAGAGAGATCACAAGTAGACAGAGAGGCAGGCAGAGAGAGAGAGAGAGAGGGAAGCAGGCTCCCTGCTGAGCAGAGAGCCTGATGTGGGACTCGATCCCAGGACCCTGGGATCATGACCTGAGCCGAAGGCAGCGGCTCAACCCACTGAGCCACCCAGGCGCCCCGAAATCAGGGTTTTAAATGACACACTGGACCAGATGGACTTCACAGATATATTCAGAATATTCCATCCCAAGGCAACAGAATACACATGAACATTCTCCAGAACAGATCACATCCTGGGTCACAAATCAGATTTCAACCAGTACCAAAAGACTGGGATCATTCCCTGCATAATATCAGACCATAATGCTTTGAAACTCGAACTCAATCACAAGAGGAAAGTTGGAAAGAACTCAGATACATGGAGGCTAAAGAGCATCCTACTGAAGAATGAATGGGTCAACCAGGAAATTAAAGAAGAATTTTAAAAAATAATAGAAACAAATGAAAATGAAAACACAACTGTTCAAAACCTTGGGATCCAGCAAAGGCACTCCTAAGAGGAAAGTATATAGCAATACAAACCTTTCTCAAGAAACAAGAAAGGTCTCAAATACACAACCTAACCCTGAACTTAAAGGAGCTGGAGAAAGAATAGCAATGAAAGCCTAAACCCAACAGGAGAAGAGAAATAATAAAGATCAGAGAAGAAATCAATGAAACAGAAACCAAAAGGACAGTAGAACTGATCAATGAAACTTAGAAGAGATCATATGAAACTAGGTGCGGATTCTTTGAAAGAATTAATAAGATTGATAAAACCCTGGCCAGACTTATCAAAAAGAAAAGAGAAAGGACCCCCCAAAATAAAATCGTGAATGAAAGAGGAGAGATCACTACCAATATGAAAGAAAGACAGAAAATTATATGAACATATTCTGAGCAACTGTATGCCAATAAATTAGATAATCTCAAAGAAATGGATGCATTCTTAAAGATGTATGAACTACCAAAAGTGAACCAGGAAGAAAGAGAAAACCTGAACAGACCCAGAACCAGAAAGGAAACTGAACCAATAATCAGAAATCTCCCAACAAACAAGAGCCCAGGGCCAGAGGTCTTCCCAGGGGGAATTCTACCAAACATTTAAAGGAGAATCAATACCTATTCTTCTGAAACTGTTCCAAAAATAGAAATGGAAGGGAAACTTCCAAACTCATTTTATGAGGCCAGCATTACCTTGATCCAAAACTGGACAAAGACCCCATCAAAACGGAGAATTACTGACTAATACCCCTGATGAACATGGATGCAAAAATTCTCACCAAAATACTAGCTAACAGGATCCAACAGTACATTAAAAGGATTATTCACCACCACCTATTCCTGGGCTGCAAGTTTGGTTCAACATCTGTAAATCAATCAATGTGATACACCACATTAATAAAAGAAAGAACAAGAACCATATGATATTCTCGATAGAGGCAGAAAAAGCATTTGACAAAGTACAGCATCCTTTCTTGATCAAAACTCTTCAAAGTGTAGGGATAGGGGGTACATACCTCAATATCATAAAAGCCATCTACGAAAACCCACAGCAAATATCATTCTCAATGCAGAAAAACTGAGAGCTTTTCCCCAAAGATCAAGAACATGGCAGGGATGTCCACTATCACCAACACTGTTCAACATAGTACTAAAAGTCCTAGCCTCAGCAATCAGACAACAAATAGAAATAAAAGCCACCCGAATCAGCAAAGAAGAAGTCAAACTCTTACTCTGCAGATGATGTGATACTTTATGTGGAAAACCCCAAAGACTCCACCCAAAACTGCTAGAACTCATACAGGAATTCAGTAAAGTGGCAGGATATAAAATCAATGCAGAGAAATCAGTTGCATTTCTATACACCAATAATAAGACAGAAGAAAGAGAAATTAAGGAGTCGATCCCGTTTACAATTGCACTCAAAACCATAAGACAACTAGGAATAAATCTAGCCAAAGAGGCAAAGAATCTGTACTCAGAAAACTATAGAACACTCATGAAAGAAATTGAGAAAGACACAGGAAATGGAAAAATATTCTATGCTCATGGATTGGAAGAACAAATATTGTGAAAATTCAATCCCTATCAAAATACCATCCCTATCAAAATGCAATCCCTATCAAACTTTTTTCATAGAGCCAGAACAAATAATCCTAAAACTTGTATGCAACCAGAAAAGACCCCAAATAGTTAGAGAAATGTTGGAAAATAAAAGCCAAGCTGGTAGCATCAGAATTCCAGACTTTAAGCTCTATTACAAAGCTGTAATCATCAAGAAA